GGTGCGTACGGCTTTGGCACGGGCCGTCTGACACGCGTGGATACAGTGAGTGCGGCTTTGGCACGGGCCGTCTGACACGCGTGGATACAGTGACTGCGCCCTTGGGGCCTCTCGAGAGGAAGCTTTCAAGATGGCCAGTTTCATTTTTCAGTGTTTTTCTTCTGTTTTCCGCCAAGTTTCCTTTGTGTTACTACTAAAAAAAGCCTCAATAAAAGTGTAATAACATCTTACCTAAGGCTGACAAGAGGGGTGACAGAATCAACATGAACCGTTCCTGCCTGCAGTGAGACACACTAATTGTAACACCGGTAGAGCAGTAGTAGCCCCATCCGACCCCCCACCCGGGCCGAGTAATGGGGGGAAATGAACCATATGACAGCATAGTAATCACCTCATCTCCTTGGGTTGGGGGAAGTTCAGCAAGAAAGCCAGGCCCCCGTAATTTGTGTCCCTCCATTCCCCCAGGTAAAAAAAAACACCACGGCCCTCCTGCAAGATGGCCTTTAATTTCGAGTCCCAGTTTTTCCCCACCGATGTGGGCTTCTGCTAGCAGTCAGGGTGTAACTGTATCTAAGGGTGGTTGTGTCATGGAGTCACACAGCAGTCAGCGGTTACAAAGCAGATGCTGTCTCGGATAGACCTGGTTAGAACTTCGATAATTTTGCTGACGCCTGATGCTTTGCGTATAATATTCTCCTGTCAAGAATTTTTATTATTGTTTACTTGTATAACCTGTTGAGTGCATCGTGATTTCCAGTTTGAATGGGTGTAGCTTAGTTCCAAAGGACACATGCATTTGTATAGAACTTTTACAATTTTTTGAATAAGTAGTTTAGGTAGTAGCTAATGTCGAAGTAGGCAGAGCCTGCGTCTTTAAGACTTCCTCGAGTCGTCACACGGACCCAGAGACAGCGTTGTTCCCGTACCTCACTTCCTCCCCGCGACACTGGGGCTCCTGAGAGACAGTGCATATCCAGAGCGGGTGGCTGGCGGCTGCCTGTCCTGCCGTCATGCTCAACAGGCGCCTCTTTGAGTGGCAGGGCGGCTCCTTGAAGCTGAGGGCAGTCAGGGAGTCAGAGGTAGGGGGTCACCGCCAGGCCGGGGGGGTAAGGGTCGTTGCCTGCATTTCCCCCGCGTTCATCGAGAATATGCACTCTTCGTCTCGCTTTTTCTGCTCCTCCTCCTTCTCTGCTCCTTCTCATTTTTAAACTGCCTCTCCTAATGGCAGCCTGTAAACTTCCTGTTTCATGCATGAAGCAGAGCTGTCTCCTGTGAGTCGTCTTCGCCTTTATGTGCTCCGCTTTGCGTGCGGTTCCCGTCTTTGGAGTTCAGCGTTGATTCGGCTCGCCCTCATTAACCTAAAACGTGCTACAGGCATAATGAGCTTTTATCGGTTGCTGTCAACTGATCTTGATGTTAATGAGCTGTGTCCTGCACTGAGGAAAGTGGGATAGCCCAGTGCACCATGGGAACGAAACCAGTGTCAGTTTTAATGTAAACCACCTAAGAAGTTGGGAAAACCATTGAGGGGAAAATATATAGATATATAAATAATACAGAGCTTAATATGAATGCCGATATTTGTAGATTTGTTTGTAATTCAGACCTCAAAGAGCAATTTTAATGAGAAACAGGTGATTAAACCGATGCCAGCCTTATGTAATCCCTTTATTCTAATTTGACTCCAGACTCTAGGTTTCACACGCAATGAGGGGAAAAATTCAAAACCGGCCGTTTCTTTTTGGGATGGCATGCCGCTGACCACTGTCACTGTGACTTTCGGTGATCTAATCATGAGATGTGATTTCAGTGACACAAGCCGCAAGCTCTTCGGGTCTGTGGGCTTGTCACCAGTGTAGGCCAGCGGCCCGTTAGTGATCGTTCAGCGTTACGTCAGGTGCAGCTTCCCCAGAGCATTGCAGTCCGTACTTCGTATGGTGATTCCTCATGGAGTTCCCTCTACCACTAAAAACTAGTGTTTTGAGATGGAGATACAGGTTAAGGCTGACAGGCCGCTTTCAGAGCTAAATCTGACCTCCCCCCCCCCCCCCTTCCTTGCAGGAGAAGGACAAGGATAAAAACAAGGAGAAAGACAAAGAGGTCAAGGAAAAGGAGAAAAAGACACTCAACGGACACGTCTTCAGCACAGTCAACTCGCCCTTCGCCCAGTGCCACCAGTGCAGCAAGCCCATTGGCATGAAGGATGCATTCTCCTGCTCCAGTAAGACTAGTGCACTCTGCACCCTTTCCTACTAGACGGGTTTCTGTGGTGAGGGCTGTGCGTTGCAGTTCTCTGTAAAGATTACCGAATGTTCGCTTCCAGTAAATGCTTCTCTTTTTCTTCAGCCATTTTTTTTTCTTCACTTTCTTGCTGCAACGAGCATAGATCACAATGTGGTCTGCTCTCGTCGTCCTATTCAGAGGAGGAAAAAAAAAAATTTCCTCCTCAACTGGGATGGATCTTTTCATTAACCTCGAATGCTAATGCACTTTTGCATATCAGACCATGAATATCTCTAAAATCTACTTTTTGCTGTAATTTATGAAGATTGTTTTTAGGGTTTCGGGGTTGAGCGAGGGGGGAAGAAAAGAACAGGAAATAGATCGTAAACTGTGAGATGAAGTAGGCGTCTGCAGCCTGAGGAAGGCTGTGAGCATTTCACAAGACTCCGGCAGCGCCTAGCAACGGGGAAAGAGGAAGAGTGACATCACCCCTGTGTGGTAATGTTAGCATCCCACCTAGCATAGAAGTGCTGCAGACCGGCTCATGGAATGGCTGCTGTTTCTCCAGCGTTACGGGTGTCCCGTTAGCTGAATGGAGTTAGGGGGTGGGGGCTGAGTCTGTCTCAATACTGAACAAGCAATGGCAGATGATGAGTAATGATGGACAAATTATATAATTAGTTTTATATTGCTCAATTGAAATTCACACCAAGAATGGGAGATTTTTTCAAGGTTGAAAGTGGAGAAGGTAAATTTACACCATTCGGTCTTCTGTATCCAGTCAGTGTTAAATGCTTTGGTGCAAACTGCTGCGCACTGCACATGGGTAGGACTGGCCCGTTCGCAGTGTGTGGCACAGTGTCGCCAGCCTGAGGGTGCTGGGAGAATGTGCCGGAAAGGAGTAATTATAGCATGTGTCTGCATGGAGCCCTGCCTTGGGGTGAGTGGGTTGGCCTCTCCCTGGGTCTGAGTCATGGCTTCCTCAGGACAGGCCTGCCGTCCATCTCAACCTCGAGTGACCAACAATCACAGGAAAGAGGAGTCAGTCTATCGCCATGCTAGGTAGTCACCTTAATGCCCTCCAAGGTGCACCCCAGCCTGGTCCTCTCTGCCCCCGACCGGGATAAGATGGCTGGATGGTCAGCGTGATGTCTGCATCTGGCTAATACATATTAATTAAATAAGGCTGAGATGGTGTGATAGCTCAAGGCAGCAGCAAATGAACCTCATGAGCAGGTTCCCCAGAAGATTCTCATCCAGTGCTATACAAATGGCAGGAGCTGTAAGTTAAAGAGCTGACATTAGGAGGACATGATTATGACATGATTCTGCTGAATGCTGCTGTTAAGTCCCGCTGGCGGCGTGAAGGGGAGACCCCTGCTTCCCCTCAAGCGTCACGTTCCTCCTCTGCGATTGGCTTCCATCTTGCCTGTACGCTGAAGGCCCAGCTCTGCCATTTGTGCGTTCGGTACACGTCTCGAATCCCTCCTACAGCTGCGGAAAGGCTCCGCCTGCCCTGGGCGTCTCGTAAAATGTGAGACCACCCCACCCCCTCCCCGACCGGCGCAGGCGGCTTGGGGGCCGTGGCTGGGATGGGTCCCTCGGAGCAGTGGACCGCTGCCCGGCTCCTCCGTGTTGCTCTGGGTTGCATCACCTCCTCCCCCCTCCCCCCCCCCCCCCCCCCCCATCTGGAATAGATCAGTCCTCTTACACCCTCTGTTCGCCGCCTACGTACAGCGTGCGGTTCCCTGTCCGTCAGCAGCCTGCCCCGGTCCTCAGGATCCGCCGCCTCTCCGCCCACCAGCCCGTCCTGGAAAATGCTGACCGGCCCAGCCCGTCGACTCGCTATTCTGCGCCGCTCTTTCCGTGGAGGTGTCTGCCCACGCCCACGTTTGCCCGCCTGCAGCTCGTCTGAATATGTCTATAGGCTCCGTTTTTTCCTCTCAGGATGACAAAGTGCTTAATGTTTCTCTATTTTTAGCCGCTTCTCACTCACCCCAGTATGTGAGCGGCATGCAGCCCCTTAGAAGCCCAGCCGCGTTGTATGTTTGTGCTTCTTCACAAAGGAGTATTTTCAGTGATGTTTCACTAAGACACTTGTACATATCTTAATAAGCATTAAATTAAAATGGAAATGGGCAATAATGTTGTATCTCTTGGGCAGAATGACTTTACACCCCAGATCCAGGCACTTAATTTCCTGTTTATGTTCTTGTGGCTTTTGCTGATGTTTGCGGAACTAGAAAGAGTGAAGTTCTATGAGGTCAGAGTGTCATTTGTTTCCCATACTGCTGCCCTGGTAGATGGTAGATTGCTGGAAAGCAGGACTAAAATATGTATTGTCTCATAAGTGTAAAGGTGAAACATAAATTTAGCACAATGTTATACATAGTCTTCTCTCTGTCTGTTTATGTTTTTGTTTTTTTTTTTTGAGTGTTTGAATGTTTGAGCAGTTGGGTTACCAGGAAGCAGATCTGTCTTTCTCGAAACTGACAGGTTCTAATTTCCCAGTTGTATTTTTAGCCAATTATAAATGTATTGTCTGTGAACACACACTTTGACGCTCGCCACCGCCGGTTGTGGGCCGGAGGCCTCGTGTTTGTGTTCCCCGCTTTCTCTGATTGGGGTCGCTGTGTGTCTCTGTTTCAGACTGCACTGCTCATGTACACAAAGGCTGCAGGGAGAGCCTCCCCACCTGCACCAAGGTCAAGATGAAGGTGAGTGAGGCCCCTAGCAGCTTGTGTGTGTGTGTGTGTGTGTGTGTGTGTGTGTGTGTGTGTACATGCTGTACCCTGGACTGACGTCCCAGCCTGGCTGTACCCCTGCCTTGTGCCCTATGCTTTCTGGGACAGACTTCAGGCCCCTTCTCATGCCTTCCCATGCATGCTGAGGTGTATGGAGGCATGTCAGATGTTTGTCCGTGGGAATTCTCTGTGTAAATCTCGTTCATTGTGTACATTAGGAATGATCTGTGAAGGGACATAATGTGTAGAAGAAAACTTAAGTTGTTTTTTTCTTCTTTTTTTTTAGCTGCAGAAACAGCAATGCACAGTACCAGATGCAGCCCCGGTCCAAACAGTCACTATGAGGCAGAAAAGTAGGTTGTTTCTTAATTAGATTTTCTACTTTATGGCTGCTTTTCCATGGCTGACCGGCCTGGGCTTCCCCCACGTGTAACTGTGTAGCCACGCCGGTGCGGGAGCGACCTCGCTCGGCCATCTTGATCCCCGAAGATGCCAGTATAGGGGTGGCCCCCCGCCGGCCGGTCTCCATTATGCCCTTTCACACCAGCAACCTGTCCAAGAGCATCTCCATTAGCAACATCCCAAGGTGAGCCCCCTCCCCCCCCATTGCACACGCCCTCTCCATGACCTCACATTGACCCCCTGACCGCGTCCTTGCTGCTGTAGCCCCGTGCTGGACGACATGCCCCTAAAAGGACAGCGCTACCTGTCCCAGTCCACCGACTCGCTGCACAAGACCAGCAAGGTCAACGAGTCCATGGAGTCACTGGCAGATGAGGGTGAGTAGCGGGAGAGTCACCCCAGAGTCACCCCAGAGTCACCCTTTTCCATAAGGCAAGGACTAGACAAGTATGAATAAAGCAAAATAAAGAAGCTAATTAGCTGTAGCTTCGCTAAAAATATTTTAATACAGCCCTTTAAGATAATTACAGTGTATGTTTGAGGGGAATCAAAGGGGCATTTTGTTTCTCAGAGATGCTCATTATTAAGATGGTCAACAAGTGGGCCATTAGTGTTATCACTTTACTCGAGTGGCCAGACACACTTAGCAACAACTCGTTTACTTCTGAAGTACAAATTATCAACAAATCATGAACAACTATAGTAACTGCTTGAGATAAAAGATTCATTAATGATGAACAAACATGAGATCAGGATTTCAGTTCTGTTATTCGTTATTTGTTCCTTCAGTACTTCACAAAGGTTTACAGAATTAACAGATATAGCAACAAATTTAGTAACTGCTTGGGATGAAAGATGCATCATGACTGCGTGAACAAATATGAGATCAGTATTTGACTAAGTCTAAGTTTGTGGTTGATTATTACACAGTGATAGTACACTGCCTGGCCAAAAAAAAGAAGTCACACACGCTAATATCTCATTGGACCACCTTTAGCTCTGATTACAGCGCACATTTCTTTCTGTCCAGAGTTGCATTAATATTTCACCAAAATGTTGTAGTGATGGTGGGAGAGTCGGACTGCTGTGTAAAGTCTTTTCCAGCATATCCCACAGATTCTCGATGGGGTTAAGGTCTGGGCTCTGTGGTGGTCAGTCCATGTGTGAAAATGATGTCTCATGCTCCCTGAACACGTGTCATCAGGGAAGGAAAAAACATCATTCATGGCAGAACCTGGTCATTCAGTATATTCAGGTAGTCAGCTGACCTCATTCTTTGGGCACATAATGATGCTGAACCTAGACCTGACCAACTGAAGCAACCTCAGATCGTAGCACTGCCCCCACAGGCTTGTACGGTAGGCATTAGGCAGGACGAGTGCATCACTTCATCCGCCTCTCTTCTAACCTGATGCACCCATCACTCTGGAACAGGGTAAATCTGGACTCATCAGACCACATGATCTTCTTCCATTGCTCCAAAATCCAATATTTATGCTCTCTAGCAAAATGAAGCCTTTTTTTCCCCAATTAGCCTCACTGATAAGTGGTTTTCTTTAGGCTACACACCTATTTAGTGTCAATACCTCAAGTTCTCTTTACATAGTGCTTGTGGAAATGCTCTTACTTTCAATACTAGACATTTCTACTGTTGATTGTTTTACAGTTTGATTTCACCAAACATTTTAATGACAATCATTCAGGATTTTTTTCCAACCACATTTCTTCCTCAAAGGTGATGGTTCACCACTATCCTTCCAGGTTTTAATAATGCGTGTGACAGTTCTTAACCCAATTTTAGTAGTTCAGCAATCTCCTTAGTTGTTTTCTTTGCTTGATGCAGGGCAATACTTTGACCCTCTTGATACAGCTCAACATCTTTACAACTACAGGATATGTCTTCCAACATGGTTGTTTAAGAAATAAGGAGCTACTCACTGCACAAGTTAGGCTTAATTAACTTGTTGTCAGCTGAAATATATATTAACCACTGCAGTACTTTTCGAATTAAAGGCTCTTACTTGTTTGCTTAGTTAGATCTAGGTGGTGACGTTTTTTTGCCAGGCAGTGTATAATACTATATTATTTGTGCCCTGTCAGTTAAAGTGTTACTTCATTATTACCAGGGATCTCCTTTCTGAGTAGCAGTGGGAGTGACGTGGAAGATGTTTCCTTGGTAACCATCTCATTGTTTGTGTCAGGCACGGAGATGATGGACAGCCAGCTTCTGGGCGAGTTCGAGGCTGACGCCAAGGAGCTGGAGGCCGATTCTTGGAGCTTCACTGTAGATAAGAAGTATCTAAAGCACCTGAAGAAGGACGTCATCAAGAGACAGGATGTCATCTACGGTAAGTAATTTGAGATGTTTTTATACCTTTTTCAGAGTTTCCATACGATTAATTTAATTGATCAAGCCTGATTTGGAAAGGCACACAATTTTCCAATTTTACAGCAGTCCCCCATTTGACGGCGTACAATATATCACAGCAAAAGCTAAGGCATGTGGTCAAAGGAATTTCCCACAGAGCTCAGAGACAGGATTGTGCTGAGGCACAGACCCGACCTGATGGTCACCCCGGGTGAGCTACAAAGAGCCTGTGTGTAGATGGGAGAAACTTCCAGAAGGACAAGCATCACTGACACTTCACTGATCTGGGCTCAATAAAAGCCTTGGTAAAAGACACATGAAAGGCCACTTGGTGTTTGCAGAATGCTACCTAAACGACTCTCAGACTGTGACAAACAAGATTCTCTGATGAAAACCAAGATTGAACTGTTAGGCCTCAATTCTAAGTGTCATGTCCAACGGTAATCAGGTACCTGCGTGATACCATCCCAGTTGGGCTCCTCAGACCGGGCCAGAGGTTTATCTTTAAACAGGACAATAACCCGAAGCACATTACAAAGACAATGCAGGAGTGGATGTCATAGTGTGGCCCGGCCAACGGACAGACTTGAACCCAATGGAACATCTGCAGCGAGTCCTGAGAGTAGCTGTGCATTGACAGTCACCCAACCTGATAGAGCGTGAGAGGGTCTGCAGAGCTGAATGGGAGAAAGTCCCCAAATCCGGGCGTGCAAAGCTTGGCATCTCATTCTTAAGAAGACTGGGTGCCGTCATGGCTGCCAAAGATGCAGCAATGAAGTACTGAGTGAAGGGTCTGGGTACATATATCAGTGCGGTGTTTTAGTTTTTTATATTTTGCAATTAAGATCTTAAGTCTTTTTTTTGTATTGTCATCATGGAGTATTGAGTTTAGGTTGATGGGTGAAATAAATTAAACATGATGGGGTGTGAGTATTTCCTGAATGCACCCGTGTTCAACGTCCACCCCGGTCTCACAGAGCTGGTCCAGACTGAGATGCACCACTTGCGCACGCTGAAGATCATGGCTGAAGTGTATGGGAAGGGGCTACAGAAGGAGGTGTTGCTGGAGACTCAGATGGTGGAGAAGATCTTCCCAGCGATGGAGGACCTACTGGAGCTCCACACGCAGCTCCTGGGGCGGCTGCTGGAGAGGAAGCGGCAGTCGCAGAGGGAGGGCAGGGAAGGCGGCTTCCTCATCCACAAGGTCGGGGACATCCTGCTGGATCAGGTGAGGTACCCTTAAGGTGTCTGCTGGACCCAGATGCATGGTAGCAGTTTGGTCTGCTAACAAACTGCTCATATTAACCTCTGTACACCCCCCCCAGTTTGCTGGGGAAAACGCAGAGCACATGAAGAAAGTTTACGGCAAGTTCTGCAGCCGGCACAGCGAGGGGGTGAACTTTTACAAGGAGCTTCTGGCCAAAGATAAACGCTTCCAGGCGTTCATTAAGGTGATCGCATTCGCCATCTCATTCAGCTCCCCAACAATAGCCTTCTGCTAAACGTGATGTGATGTATTAACTTCATTTTTAGTTGAACCTCATAAGTACCATCCCCCCTCCCCCATGTCTCCTCCTTAACCGGATGTGGCTGTTTCTTTCAGAAAAAGATGAGCAGCACCATCGTTCGACGGCTTAGCATCCCAGAATGCATTTTACTGGTGACGCAACGGATAACCAAGTACCCAGTGCTGCTGCAAAGAATTCTGCAGCACACCAAAGGTGAGGCTCTCCTTGATGAGCCGAGGGACATGAACTCTTTTTGTCCATAAAATCCCCCAGTGGCATATTCTCCATACACACAAGTAGGCTTTACGGCTGTAGAGTCAGTTTTTAGCATTCTTGCGGCAGACTTCAGTGAGCAGGCTCTGATTTTGTCCAGCGTGGTGTTAGATTCAGTCTTTGCGTTACTTTGAGTTTCATTCCAACCTATTCCTATGACTTAATTGGTGGATTTAGTCGTTAATTGTTGAATATGTCAAATTATCTAAGCTAACTATCTAATTAGCTCTGCAAGTCGCTTTAATTATCTATAAATATGATTTATTGGTTAAAGATCCTGCGTGTGTGTCCGCCTAAGGCCTGTACACTGATAACACCCCCCCCCCGATTTATTGCCCCCCAGAGAGTGAAGAAGACCACAAGGAGGTGGAGGAGTCGCTGCGGCTGGTGAAGGAGGTGATTGCTGCCGTCGACAGCAAGGTGCACAAGCACGAGCGTAAGCGGCGGCTGCAGGAGGTGCACGGGCGCGTGGACGGGCGCTCCATCACGCGCATGAAGAGCGGCCAGATGTTCGCACGCGAGGACCTGGTGCGAGGCCGCAGCCTGCTCCGCGACGGGCCGCTGCAGCTCAAGACTTCTGCCGGCCGCCTCAAGGGTGAGCGCCGGCCCTCGGCACCTCCTCCCCCATCTCCTGGGCCCTGGAGCGTCTCCTTAACCTCCCCTAACCTCTCCCTTCAGACGTCCAAGCCCTGCTCCTCTCTGATGTCTTGGTGTTCCTGCAAGAAAAGGACCAGAAATACATATTCGCTCTATTGGTGAGATTGTTTTGTTCGCACTTTCCGGACTCCCTCATCTGGAGTAACACTTAGTTTTGGTTCTCTGACCCACATAGGAATTTGCACCCGTGTTTGCTGCGGGCCGTGGTTTTTATTGGGCCATAGCGTTAGCAGGCAGAGCTGCTTCCTCCTTCTTTTTTTGCTCCCCAACCCCCCCGCCTCCCATTTTATTTTTGCCCGAACTTTTCTCCAAAATAAGGAACCCGGCCATGAGTTTGCTCAAATGAGCCCCCTCCAAGGGGCCTGCAGAGACCTGGGCAGAACGAGGGCAGTGTTATGTAACAGGCACACCTGCTGGAGAGCGGCTGCCCCCAGGGGGTGTGAGATCATGCATCTGCACGTAGCTGCGTAGACAGAGTAAAAGCCTTATGTTCAGTAAGCACGCTTTAAGGAGGCCCTGGTAGGACTCGTGTAAATATCCATATCTGAGACCTTTTTAATGATTTGGGGGAGTTGTTGGTGTCTGAAATGTTTAGGTTCTGAGCCTGAGCTTGTTGTCACCCCCCTCAGGACCAGCGCTCCACGGTGATCTCGCTGCAGAAGCTCATTGTCCGTGAGGTGGCCAATGAGGAGCGAGCCTTCTTCGTCATCACAGCCGGCATTGAGCAGCCGGAGATGGTGGAGGTGCACGCCAACTCCAGAGAGGAGAGGAACACCTGGATGCACTTCATACAGGAAGCCATGCACTCCGTGTACGTGAGGGGGGGGCACTTTTCTCCCAGCCGTGTAAACAAGCGCCTCTTCAGCCTCTCTGATTATCAAAATGACTGTAGTGTTGAACCCTGACAGAACATTTTACTAAGGGAAGTGTGGATGTCATTAACATATATCTCTGTAGTGGTTTAGTTCAGTAACTAAGGGATTAAATACTATTGCTTGTTAGAAGTGCTTTACAGGGTTCAAGAGTGCACTTAGTTATACATTCGCTGTAGAAATTACTATTTATTTGAGTGCTTACTCTCAAAGAGGATTTATTGCATTGATGTTTGGATATTTTCAAGTTCCTCCATTTTATGAATGTGCATTCTTTATGTAGAGGATCCCTGTCTCCCCTAATGGGTTAAGGGGTTGAATTTGGTTGCGACTGGTGGTGATGCAACATGATAACTTTAGGTTTTTGGTGATGTGATGCAGGGGGAAGGATGAGGATGAAGGGATTCCGAGCGAGAATGAGGAGGACAGAAGGCAACTGGAAACCAAGGCCAAGGAAATGAGAGGTTCGGATATGGCCCCATCGCCCCCCCCCCTCCCCCGCCCCCAAAATAACGGCCTTTTACAGTATCACTACCTGGAGTCCTTGAGTAATGTCTCCGCTGCTCCCTTCAGACCTGCTGAAAAAGACGGACGAGCAGATCATAGCGTTGCTGGAGGAGAAGGTGAAGGTGTTCAGGGACATGTGCAACTGCAGCAAGAACGAGGAGAACCCCGCCAGGGCCTCAGCCATGTTCCACACCGGTGCTGATGATTCACTCAAAGGGGATCACATCATGCAGGACACCCTGAAGGAAGGTGGGTGTGGCCAGAAGCATAGCCAATCACGGAGGAGTGTCAGAGTTCTGAATTATAGACCACTCGAAATAATTAAGCCTATTACATTACATCAAGTGTTCCCCACAATGTAATAAAAACCTGATATTTTGACGTTGTGGGGACCATTTTTCAGGTCCCCACAAAGATCTGTGAATGCAATCAAATAGCTAAAAATCTCAAAAGTCTTGTGTTTCGTTTGGTCACTTATGGTTAAGGTTATGGCTGGGTAGGGGTTAAGGTCATCATGTTGTGATTAGAGTTTTCCCCATAGAAATAAATGGAGTCCCCACAGAGATACAATTACAAACCTGTGTCTGTGTCTGTGTGTGTGTGTGTGTGTGTGTGTGTGAATCTCTGTGGCACAGGCACTATGGGCTGCACAGCTAGCTGTTAGCATGCTAACACGGTGCGTGTCTGTTTTTCAGTGGAGAGGCTGCAGTCTCTGCTGAATGTTGACCTCAGCGGCGGCGGGGGGCTTTCGTGTCTGCCTCGCAGGGCCGAGACCTTCAGCGGCTTTGACAGCCATCAGATGGCTTCCAAACGTGAGCGCCGACCCCCCCCCGTCACCCTCTAGCACATTGGCGTGACATTAGCGTGCCAGTAACCTTCTGTTTTACTCCAGACGGGGAACCGGGTGAGGACTCTGCAGAGCTACGCAGGACAGAGTCTGACAGTGTCCTCAAAAAGGTAGGAGGCCGCATTGGCACTGACTATGGTCGTGTGTTTTAATACGCTTTCCGGGGACAATGTGGAGCGACGAAGGAGCCAGCATGTTCATAAAGGATGGGAAAGAAGGTGCATAGTTAGAGCAACAAGGGGTTAATTAATAATTGCCTAACATTGTGTAATCACTGCGCATTACATTACTACCGTGAACCATACAGACAGACACACGCGCACACAAGGTCCGACCCTCCCAGCAGACAGAACTTTGGAATTGTGCTTGTTTTCTGCAGGGGGGGGATATCAGCCTGGCGCTCATACTGAAGAAGAACAGCGAGGTAGGGTGTACACCCGCCCACACTACAACGGCATTATTAGTCTGGTCAAGTTTCTATTATGTATGGTGGGACAGGCACATAAAAAGACAGCCCTACGTCACGGGCCCGGCCCTGAGAGTCACATGACCATACCTAGTCTATTTCAACCCAGAGTAACCAGTTGGCCAACCTGTATCATCCCACTCCAGGTCCTTCACAGCGTGACCAAAATTCATGAGCTGCTGAACACATTACAGGTATGTGACAGTGTAACGATCCCTGGGGTCTTCATCTGTACATCCGCACTGTATTAGCATTCTGTATTAGCATTCCGTATTAGCATTCCGTATTAGCATTCTGTATTAGCATTCTGTATTAGCATTCTGCTTTACATAATGCAGGTATGTTCACGATTTCCCTTCTCTGGTACATGGATCACGGTTGGTAGCTAATAATTTTCACCATCATCATTTTAATAACACCAAGGATTCATGGAAAGAGAGATTTGGTGCAGGTAGAGGGGCCAGATGACAGGAACGATGTTTATGGTGAATGTGTCATTCTGTGGGGAACCGTAAGGCATTAACATGGAATGTGTGAGGTCAGAGAAAGGCAGGTACACAGACTGCATGCAGGCCAAGCCGAAAAAGGCTCCGTCTCTGGGAAACCTGCATGTGATGCATGTGCCTTTGGCTGCTCTGGATAAGGAACCTGGAAGCCTTACAGGACAGAATTCGGGCCCCATAAGGGGCTTCTGAGTTCCGGTCTGGGTTACGGTCTGATGGTACGGTCTAGTTTACGGTCTGATGGTACGGCCTAGGTTCCGGTCTGATGGTGCGGTCTAGGTTACGGTCTGATGGTACGGTCTGGATTCCGGTCTGATGGCACGGTCTGGGTTACGGTCTGATGGTACGGTCTGGGCACAACGTTGATCATTGCACATGGGCCCCAGCACGTTCCTGAGGGGGAGCTCGGCATGCTCTGCCCTGGCCCCCCATGTCTGAATGCCCTGTATTTAGGGATACAGCACTGGGCACAAAGCAGGGGGAGGATTTGAACCCTGACCCTAGAGGTGTGCAGCAGCAGTGCTAACCACCATGGCACCCTAAAAAGTGAATCAAAGTCCAAAACACAAGCTCACTATTAAGTACATTTCAGCAGATAAAACAGCATAGAACAAGCAGTAAAAAGCCTGTGACATTTATTTTAATCTTTAAGATGAAATGAGTCTTAATACATTTGTGTTTTGGGAGCATGAAAATTTTAAGTGTATAAAGCTCTGATTGCCTGCAGAGTGTCACACCGTCCATGTGTCTGTGTCTGTCTGTCTGTCTGCGCATGTCTGTCTGTCTGTGCGTGTCTGTCTGTCTGTCTGCGCATGTCTCAGTCTGTCTGTGTGTGTCTCTCTGTCTGTCTGTGCGTGTCTGTCTGTCTGTCTGTGCGTGTCTCAGTCTGTCTGTGTGTGTCTCTCTGTCTGTCTGTGCGTGTCTGTCTGTCTGCGCATGTCTCAGTCTGTCTGTGTGCGTCTCTCTGTCTGTCTGTGCGTGTCTGTCTGTCTGTCTGCGCATGTGTCAGTCTGTCTGTCTGTGTTTGTCTGTCTGTCTGCGCATGTCTCAGTCTGTCTGTGTGTGTCTCTCTGTCTGTGCGTGTCTGTCTGTCTGTCTGCGCATGTGTCAGTCTGTCTGTCTGTGCGTGTCTGTCTGTCTGTGTGTCTCTCTGTCTGCCTGTGCGTGTCTGTCTGTATGTGCGTGTCTCTGTCTGTCTGACTTTATTCCTGTGTGTCGACCAGGCCGTGGTGGTCCAGCAGGACACCCTCATTGAGGACCAGCGGCAGGCCCTGAGCGAGCGCCCCCCTGCTGTGAGAGTCCCTTCCCGGCCCAGCTCGCTCCTGGAGCAGGAGAAGCAGCGTAGCCTGGAGAAGCAGAGGCAGGAGGCAGCTGAGCTGCAGAAGCAGCAGGCCGCGCATGCCGAGGAGCGCCGCCGGCGCGAGCGCCTGTGGAGGATGCGGGAGCAGGAGCTGGCCGAGCGTGAAGCCAGCCTGCAGGTGCAGGAGGAGGAGGCCTGCCGGCAGGAGCGCGAGCTGCAGGAGTCTCGCCGGGAGCTGCTGGAGCGTAAGGAGGAATACCAGAGGGACCTGGAGAGGCTCCGGGACGCTCAGAGAAAGATGGATAGGGACCGCATGGAGATGGAGAAGATAGAGCAGGTGAGGGAGACACACAGTTTTGATAGACACTTCTGACATCCAATGGCGATACTAGGCAAATAGATGACTTCATAAAACTTCTTTTCATTGGTCAATTACATGTCAAATGCTGTCAGTAGACAGAGGAAAATGGCCCTATTCCATTTATAGTAGAAAGTTGAAATTATCAAAAGTGGAATGTTGCCTTATTTATGGAGAACTGCATTATTACATATATGCAGAAGTGGACATTTCAGGTCCAGAAAGTAAATATCCAGGCCAAGATTTTATGTCATCCAACCAGTTGAGCATAAAAAGTTATTAACTGGCTGGTTACTTTCTGGACCTGAAGTGTCCACCTCTGCATCTTGCATCACAGGTAATTAACTTCTAATGAGACCAGTAAAGCCAGGCCGAGGTCCCGAACGGGCTGGACTGCCCCCCTCTAACGGCTGCCCATATCTCTGCAGGAGCAGAGGAAGGAGCGCACCCCATCCAGCACCTCCGAGGACTCCCTGAAGCTCCAGGGCTCCAGCCTGGACAAGGAGCCCGGGGACTGTGAGCTGTCCTCATCCCCCGGCAAGGACTCCATGATGATGCGGATGGGCTCCAAGCGGAAGGGGAGGAGCCTGAACCCCTTCGCCCTGAACTCCAGTCACAAGGCTCAGGCCCCTGAGGCACAGCCTCAGCTTACGGGCCGCCTGCTGCAGCTGGCGAAGACCAAGGAGAAGAAGGAGAAGAAGAAGAAGAAGGTCAAAGAGCAGCTCTCGCAGCCAGGAGGTACGGCGAGACTCTGGCCATCCGTGAGCCTGACGTCCGACTGAGTGAAGCGGCAACGATGATGGTTGGTGATGATTAACAACAGCATGTTAACGTCCACTGTGATAACGGGTGTCCGCTGCTGTCCCCCGCAGAGCCTGCGCTCCCCCAGGAGCCCCACGTGGATGGGGAAATCTACTTCTGCTGAGCGTCCCCTGCCGCTCACCGATATCCCACGATGACCTGCTGTCGGGGAGTAAGAGCAAACCGATCTCATGGACAGCTCCCCCTACAGGACAGAGTGGATGCCACGGTCCGTCTGCCCAGGGGGCTGACCTCCGACTTCTCTCTGAACTCGACAAGTGCGATCGACTGCAGAAGCACAATCAGGAGGCACATGTACCTTCCGAAACACAGCCGTCAAGCAACACTGGGCCTGTTCAGGTTGAAAACGGGTTTAACAGTAAAAACGGGCGATGTTTCAGCAGGCCGTTTCGGCTCCCCTCCGCGCTTCTAGAGCGTGTTTCCCAGCATCTAGTACAGAATATTACAAGTTCTTTGAAAAGATAAACCTTTTGCAAGATGTTGCCTTTAGTTGTATATTCCACAACCCCACGTTTCCATACCCCAAAACTCGTACTCATTGGTTTAGTTTTTCCATCTTAGTCCAGCAGAGTTGTGGAAATAAGAGGCAGCATAAGCAGGATTAATCACCAGGTGTGCATTACTGGTGTTAAAAGGGGGGGTTGAGGGGTGGAGTTAATGGGGAATGTCAGCCAATGGCAGGGCCTGCAGAAGGGCTGGGTTTTTGTCAGCAGCATGGTGTCTGAGAGATGGAGAGGCAGGAGGACCGACAAGGAGCTGGATGGGTAGGACAGGCGAAGCTGCCCTCTCCCCGATACAGTGGACAGATGTGTGGGAATTGGCCTTCGGGGGGAGCCACACTCAAGCTGTCAGAGGAAGTGCAGTGTGCTGGCAATAATTTAGAGCTCACTGCACAACCCCTACTATCCCCTTCATAATGTTTCTTTTGTAATTTAAATATGCTCACAAAAAGATTCACTGAAGAACAAAGACAATAATGAATCTGGCTGGAGCAGAAGCACTATCATATCATAGTGTTTTTTAAACAATCATGTTTAAATGGACCTCTTTTTAAAAAATGCCTTTTTGCTTCCTGACACTGAAATCACATGTGCAATCTGTCTCGCAATGTCAAAACTCGCCATTAGGAGGAACCAAGGTGCACATGTGGTTGAAATTTTTAAAACATTCCACCTCGGAAGACAGCCGTTTTTGAAAAACAAGTCAAGCTACTGTAAAGTGTGATTTGTGTCTGGCACATAGAGCAGCCTGGATGTGTGTCTCCGTATGGATACCGTGCTTTTAGTCTCGTTTAGGAAACGTTTCAGCCCGATAGAAACACCTGCAGTCTCAAGGCATATCAGCTAACTGAAACACTTTAGCATTAGCTTTTAATGCTAAGTAGCCTGCGTTTTCTTTTTAATTAAAAACTAATTTTCCTTTAAGCCTACAACTTTTTCAAATCCTCTTTTAAACTATGGTGGCTACTAGGCCTGGAATTAATTAATAAAATGAATTTCCTCAGTACACTTAGCATTTTGGTATTTGTCCAGTCTGTGGCTGGAAAATGGCTTTCCCCCCCCCACACTGTTAACAAACTGAAATGTGGTGTTACGTATGACTTAAGCTGTTGTTTGCCAACATTTCAGCTTGTTATGTCACACAGCTACCACTAGAAGGCACTGCTGCAATACTCAAATGGACATATGTTGTCTTGCTTTAAGGAAAAATCCTTTTTAATAAGAATCGTTAGTAAGGACTGGATTTTAAGGGTCTGTGGTCTATGCATATATCAACACATATGCATGTTTTCCTCATTAATGTTACAGTAGCCTGTGGCCTTTTATCTTCTCTATAAAACTTTAAACATAGGGATTACATTTCAAATGAATACTTGTCTTTTTTTAATACTAAATAAGTCTGCCTTAATTCTGTTCAGCTATTTTGATTGATCTTTCCAGGCTGGTCATCTATTTGTACAACCTCTGTTGAAGCTTTCCTGGGAAAAAAGGAAATTAAATTCTGCAAGTGAATTTAGGACTACTGGATTACATATTTATGTTTCTTTATCATAATACAGAATCTATGTAGCCTTATGCTAAAAAAAAAAACAAGATGCACTAGAATATCGCCCTGCTTCTCTGGAAAGTCCAGAATAGGTGTTTATACTGAAAGTTGTTAGTATTAAAGGTACATTATTCATGCTGAATTTTGTAAAGAAAATTGGTAAAACATGTAAATATGTTTATGTAAAAATGTAACTGTAAAATATATATTATATATATTGTGGTTTATGTGACCTTTTTCTAATGAGACTTTATTTATCTCTGTTCTCCCTGTTGTGGGAATTTGAGAAGTACAGGGTTTATTTCTCATAATAAATAACAGTTATGATAAGTTTGCTCCTTCTAAGGCCTGTTGCATCTTTTGTGACCCCCAATCAGTGTCATGGCCATCGTGCTCATCTGTCCCTGGGCCACTGGCTTCTGGGGTGTTTGATTGTAACTGTCTGTCTCCTGCCTTCCACCTGCTTGGAAGCACCATGAAGGCCCGAAGGCATCATGAAGGCTCGGATGCACAGTGAAGGCTTGGAGGCACTGTGAAGACCCGAAGTCATCATGAAGGCCGGGAGGCACCGTGAAGGCCCGAAGGTATCATGAAGGCCGGGAGGCACCATGAAGGCCCAGAGGCATCATGAAGGCTCGGAGGCACGGAGAAGGCTCGGAGGTACTGTGAAGACCCGAAGGCACCGTGAAGGCCCGAAGGCACCGTGAAGGCCCGAAGGCACCGTGAAGGCCCGAAGGCATCATGAAGGCTCGAAGGCATCATGAAGGTTTGGAGGCACCGTGACTCCTTTGAGCTTGAAATGTGATGGGTGCCTCATTGCCCCCGAGCGCCAGTGAGCCGCAAACCCCACGTTTTGAGCCTGTCGCTGAAAAGCCCAGCTGTGTGCCTTTGTTTCACTTAGGTCCAGACTTCACCTCCGACTAGACTGTTCTTTATGAAGACAACTCCTGCTCCGACTCTCTCCCGCTGGTCACGTAACTAGAGCCAGCTCATTATCTGCAAAAAGCCGGGGTCCTCTGGGAACCTTTTCTGCGGCTGACATATGTGGCAGCTTCTGTTTTCCTACGTCGGCGACACGATCAGTCTGCTGATGGGCCTGTTTTATGGCCACAGCCCTATAAGTGCCCAGTGAAGGTTCATAAAAGCCCCCGAGGTTGTAAATCAAGCAGCATCACATTTTGTTTTCTGTGCCTGCATCACCGAGGGAGAAGAGATGGCTGTCCCCATTCTGCCCCACCCCCGACAACAATTATAATTGCTACAGGAATCTTCTACAAGGCCTGAGTGACGTGAAAGAGCTTCCCATCACCTTCAGTCCTCGATCGGGTGGCTCAGGGCTTATCCATCAGGCTTTATTTCATCTCGATCTGCTCTCCTTCCTTTTCCTTCCTGTTTTCATCACCCTCTCCCTGCCTTTTAAGTTTCAATTAGTATTTTCCCTTAATTGATCACCATTCCCGGACTTGCTGATCCAGCATGTTTCTTTTTCTGTTGCCGGCAAACCTCTCGCCCGCTGCATTGATCTTCTGGGCAGGCTTCTGGAGTATAAAAGTCAACAGAGAACCGTCGGGACAGAACTTTCCTCTCTGGCACCCTTTTCAGAAGTTCATTCTTTACAACCATTTTGGATAGATAATTCTACCTCCTGTCTTCAAATATAGGCATATTATTTATGGAAGACCTCTTGTTTACCTCTGGTAGAGCAGCATTTGTGCTGAAATTTATGTCCTGCTCTGCAGATGCATGAATACACCCTTCTGGTAGGTATTAAAGAAGGGCTGCTTTCATATAAAGGGCTCCGCTTTCAGAGGCTTTCTCCCCTCTAACCCTCCCTCTGGCTCTGATGTTGATGCAGAGCCTTTCCAGAGCTCCACTGCAGCTCGGGGAGGGTGGGGGCGGGGAGAGGATGCTTTTCAGCTTGATAACGGGAAGGAGGCGGCCAGCGGGGCCGTCACAAAGGCCACAATCAGGACCTGCAGCTGCTGGAATGAAATTGTTTTGCTCCATTATTGCTGTCAACGAGGGCTATTCAGTGTGCCTGTTAACCGGGGGATTAGGCCTGCAGTTGGCCTCGTGAGTGTGTGTGTGTGTGTGTGTGAGAGAGAGAGAGACAGAGAGTGAGGGTGCACTGTGATTACCGTTAGCATGCCTGGCTTCTCTTTGGGGCCCCATTCAGTGGAAAAACTGGCGTCCAAGCAGGAAATTTCAATCAGGGCCACACAATGGCGCGGGGATCAAAGGTGCGAGCAGCGGATAGCGGGCAGCTTGCGACAGGCAGCCAGCTTGGGAGCTCAGCCTGAGAATGGCTTCATTGATCTGCTCCTGTAGCCTGCAGCTGAAACAATGGTGCCGTTCAGCTCGCCACACCAGACGGCCAATGCTGGTGCGGCCCCCGCTATGCATTTAGTCCTAGGAACAAATTATAGCTCCGGAAGTTCTAGAGAGGAATATCCTGATTCTCCTGAATCAGGCATTAACAGACACCATGCGTTCGTCTGCTGCCTGAGAGCTCTGCTGTCTGGCCAGATGGCGCCTCCTAAATCCAGCATGTCTCGCTGGGGTTTGATAGATTTAAAATCGAAAGGATGGATATTGAAAGGCCACAGAGGGTTATGGGTGGAAGCAGGGAGGCAACCAGCAGAGTGAGTACAGACACATGAAGTGAGCGAGGAAGGGTATGGGTTCAAGTCCTGGTGCGAGGCCCGGGTGACGTAGCTTTGAGAAACACATTTCGGTAAGCCATGCAGTCACGCAAGCTGCTAATGTTTGAGAGTACAGCGTGCTGGATTATTAATTTTTAAACAGTTTTTTAAGAAAGCAAATATGCCCTAATCTCCCTTGTGCGTGCGTGCATTTACACCGCGCCGACATGCCCGTGGAAACTCCACTCCGCTCATTACTGCTGAGTGTCCGGGGCACAGTGAGCAGGCAGTGTGGCGGACACCCCGTGTGGGGGCCTTTTAGCTGTGCTGTAGAGGACACGGCCCTGAAATGCAGACAGGCATGACGGGGCCACCCGGCACCTCCTCCGTATGAAGGGTCCTCAGGGGCTGTGTGAAGCTTCATACACCTTCCCTATGTCCTCTGCTTCTCCCCCTTCTTTTCTGGGCATTTGTATTCACACACGGTGTTTGCTCTCTGCACTGAGTACAACTCAGGGTTTATGCTGGTGATGAACCGGAAGCTCAGCCGTTGCCCCACACTCCCAGTGCCTCCATCCCCATCGCTAGCTGGTTGAGGATCTAGTTCCCTTCAGGTATCCCCACAATACAAAAGCATGTCGTCAGAATAATAAATAGCCCGAAATTGCCGGTTGTGTGTCTGTGTGTGTGTCTGTGTTTGTTGCGTTTTTGTAATTACTAAGTTGTGGACACCAGATGTCCCCACAATGTAATAAAAACCTGCAACATTTGACTTTGTGGGGACTTTTTTTTTGGTCCCCATAAAGATAACCTCAATTTTATAAAAAAAAAAGATGTAACTGTAACAAAAAATACTTAAAAATCTTGTATTTTGTTTGGTTACTTATGGTTAATGTTAGGGCTGGGTAGGGGTTAAGGTTGTCTTTGTTGGGATTAGAGTTGTGTCCAAACATAAGATTAGAGAGTCCCCACAAAAATATACATACCTAATCTGTGTGTGTGTGTGTGTGCGTGTGTGTGTGTGTGTGAGAGAGAGAGAGAGAGAGAGAAAGAGACTGTGTTCGCTGCAATGACCTGCCGTTGCATGCAGGCTGTACACTGGGACAGATTCTGGGCTCACCATGGTTCTGCACTGAATATGAAGTATGGAAGATGGATTAGTGGATTATTTTGGGAAGTTCAACACGGTGCTCTGTGAGGACTGCTATCGCACTCGGGGTTTGTGCCACATTACGCCGGGGGCCTACAGGGACCAGCCCTGGATCACCATGACCCCCCCAATCCTAAGCAGGTGGATGGAGGTGCACTGAGGCGCCTGTTTGCAGTTCCCCTAAATCACAGGAACCCCACGTGTGTGGGCTGTATGTCATCACCGCAGAGGGGAAGGGCTTCCCTTACCTGTGCGGGTCCTTTTCTTTCAGTAGAGTTGCTCCGGTTCTGCCTGGGCCTTTTCCCGCTGTGCTCTTACGCATCCATTTGCACACCTAGGTTACATC